AGAACTTTGAAATTTGGCACGTAGCTTTGTCTATGGCGAGCGGACTAGAATTTGTGAAAAAAATTTGGAATTTAGTACTTAGATGTACTAAAAAGTACTAAATATTGTATTTGAATGGAATTGGTGAAGATTCATAACTGAAACTTGGTATGGAGCTTAAGCCATTACAAAGAGAATACTGTGCAAACATATTTTTTGGACATTAGTACTAAAAGGTACTAAAAAGTACTAAAACTGTATTACTCCGGAACGGTTGGAAGTAGAACTCTGAAATTTGGTATTCAGCTTTGTCAGTGATTAGCAAATCAGAATTTGTGAACAAGTTATGGAAATTAGTACTAAAGGTAAAATGTACTAAATATTATACTACGATGGAAAATGTAGAGATAGATGTCTGAAATTTGGTATGTAGCTTAAGTCATTAAAAATAAAATGATGTACAAAAATATTTTTTGGAAATTAGAACAAATATGGTACTAAATAGTACTAAAAACTGTATTACGCCAGAACGGTTGGAACTACAACTCTAAAATTTGGTATGCAGCTTTGTCATTTATAAAAAAACAGGATGTGAACAAATTTTGCAAATTAGTACTAAATATTATACTACGATGAAACAGGTAGGGATAGATATCTGAAATTTGGTATGTAACTTAAGCTATTACAAGTAGAATTATGGGCAAACATATTTTTTTTTTAAATTAATACTAGAATATATTAAAAAGTTCTGAAATTTCACATATAGCTTTAACTATTACAAATAGAATACTATGCCATTTTTTTTTTAATTTAGCACTAAAGTTGCGATAAAAAGTACTAAATATGTAAATACAATGTAACTGGTAGAAATAGAAATCTGTAATTTTGTATGTAGCTTACTCTAAGCATAACTTTTTGGAATTAGTACTAAATACTGTAGTATAATGGAACCGATAGGAATTGAAATCTGAAACACGGCACATAGATTTAATTATTACAAATACTATGCTATATATTAATATATTTTTGAAATTTGTACTTAAATGGTACAAAATATTAACTTATCATGGAAAAGTCATAGATTGAGATCTGAAATTTAGTATGTAGCTTAACTATTACAAATAGACCGATATGCACAAAATTGTACTAAATATTGTTCCATAGTGAATGGTAAAAAATGTAAATGTAAATTTAGAGTACAAAAATGTCCAACTATAATTAACAGGCTTGGTTTATTGAAAATTCGTACTAAATGGCATCATTAATACAAAATATTGCACAGAATGGGAACATTTTTTGTATATTATAAACAAATAGAATACGAATCGAATACAAGTACTAAATATTGTATACGGTAGAATGGATGAAGATAGGAACCTGTTATTAAATAATTATCTGGAACTGTGACAATAACAATTTATACATAAAAATTTTGCATTAATAACTTCTAAAATGTACTAAAAAGTACAGCACATTGTATACGGCGGTACGGGTGGATATAAAAGAGGTAGAGGTATAGTCCTGAAATTTTGTATGTATATTTTGTTTATACAAATTAAAAAAAGTATTTTTTTTTAATTTTTAGTAAAAAGTACAAAATAGAAAATGTTAGGGAAAGATATCCGAATTTTAGTATTACTCTTTGACTATGGTAAATAAAATGTTTAATGGAAATATATACGGTTATATGAAATATAGTTTCGAATCCCACATGAATCTATACTACAGCGAATGATTATGTGAATTTTGGTTAAAATTTCTAGTGTAGTGAAAAACAGGCGAGACTTCAAATACAAATAAGTGAAACTATGCAATAAGCCGCTGAACATCACAAGTACTAAAATGTAGTCAATTTTAAATGCTAAAGTTCCAAATTTTCTAAAATAACAATACTGATATTTCCAATGATGTTTCCAACCACATTGGATCGATCTTTTGATGTAATGAATAATGGGCTGGATCATTATTATGAGGATATACTAAAAATACCGACAATACCATTGAGTATTTTGTAATACGTAACGCACCAGAAATACTAAATTTCTGCAATTTTAATGGAAATCTTCACTATAAAGGCAGGTCTCTGAATAAAAAATGATGCGCTGTGCAAAATTGTAATTTGTACTATAAGGGTACTACTATCAGTACTAAAACGAACTAGATATTTTACCATTAGTATTAAATTACCGGAAGGAACAAAAAAGGTTAACACAGTATTATAGAACTTTTTACATCAGTCCATCGGGACGATCGAGAAAATAGTAAACTTACAGAAAACTTACAGTAAACTTACAATAAGTAATTTGTACTCGATTTAGTAGGATAGAAGCATTAACGTTTCTGTACGAAAGAAATACGGAGTAAGATCTGAGATTAAAACAAACATATTAAGATATAAAACCTATAATAAAAATGTTTCAAATTTGTACTTAATCCAAAAGTATATTGCGTAGGTAAAATAATGTTTATTTATTTAACTATAAAAAGTTTCGCTAACAACGTAGCGGGCCTATGCTAGTTTTTCATATAGAAAATTATATTCAGCCAAGCTGAATTGTTAGTTTTCTATAGAAACTGTAATTCAGATAAGCTGAATTGAATATTTATTACTGAAAATGCCATTCAGCCTGGCTTAATAGACATTTTCTTAAAGAAAATCGTAGTTAGCCAGTCAGAACAGAAATGTTTTTAAAGAGAATTGTATTCAGCCTGGCTGAATACTATTATATTCAGCCTGGCTGAATACTATTATATTCAAAAAAGAAAATTATATTCATCCAAGCTGAATTGTTATATTTCTATAGAAACTACAATTCCGCTTAGCTGAATTGAATATTTATTACTGAAAATGCTATTTAGCCTGGCTAAATAGATATTTTCTTAAAGAAAATCATATTTTTTTCTTAAAGAGAAGTATATTCTGTCTAGCTGAATATAAATTTTCTTATAGAAACTCATAGTCATCCTGGTTGAATACAACAACAATTTTCTTATAGGCTGAATACTAATTTTCGTAAAGAAAATCATATTCAGCACGGCGGAATTGAAATTTTCGTAAAGAAATCATATTCAGCCCGGCTGAATAACATTCTTTTAACAATATCATATTCATCTCGGCTGAATATTACTTTCCATAATGTAAATCATATTCAGTCTCTGTGGATGGGAACTTCCTGACGAGTCCTATATCTATCGATGACTACTTGATGGGATTTTTTATCTACAGAATACCTTTTCAGGTCTTCTATCCATTGAAGACATTTTGAAGAGTTTTCGCTAATTAACATTGTTTATAGAAACTCATACATAGCCTAGCTGAATAGTAATTTTCTAATAGAAACTCTATTCAGCAAAACTGAATAGTAAATTTTTATATAGAAAGTCATATTCAGCCTGGCGGAATATACATTTTCTAATGGAAAATCATAGTAAGCTCGGCCCTGGTGAATATATTTTTTTTTATAAAAAAGAAAAGTAATGATAATATTTGTTCAGCCCGGCTGAATAGTAATTGTCTTATAGAAAATCCTATTCAGCCCGACTAAATATAAATTTTCTGATATGAAAATCTTATTCAGCCAGGCTAAATAGCAAATTTTCTTATAGGAAATTATGCTATTATGCCCGGATAAATAGAAATTTTCTTAATGAATACTCCATTCACATTCAGACCGGCTGAAAAGTCATTTTCCATATAGAAAATCGTATTAAGTGTAGTAATTTTCTTATGAAAAAAGGGATTCAGCTTTGCTGTATAACAATTTTTATAGAAAAATCTTATTCAGCACGGCTGAATAGTTACTTTCATATAGAAAATCCTATTCAGCATTGCTTAATAGTAATGTTCTTATAGAAGAAACCAGTTGAATAAAAATCTAGTAGAAAATCATATTCAGCATGACTGAATAGTATATTCTTACAGAAAAAAACTATTCAACCTGGCTGAATAGCAATTTCCTATGAAACCCCCAATTCAGCAAGTCTAAGTAGACATTTTTTGTAGAAAATTTTATTCAGTTGAATAAATATTCCTATGAAACCCCCAATTCAGCAAGTCTAAGTAGACATTTTTTTGTAGAAAATTTTATTCAGTTGAATAAATATTTTCTTACAGAAAATCATAGCCAGTTTAAAGGGCTACTTTTTGCCAAAGTTACTCAGAGGGAGTACATTTGTGCCAGTAAATAGCCCCACCAAAGACTGTCAGCAGTTGTCAGATGTGTTTTTTTGCACAAGCCACCTTTAAGTGAATGAAATGAGTTAAATTAATTTATTATTTATGTTTAAATTGTTTGCAATTTGAATTACAGCGTCAGCGGCAGGCCACACAGTCACATCCCGACAAATACACATGGGGGTCGGGTTCCCAGTAATGTGTTCAGTCGGTCGCTATTTTTCTCTCTCTCTCTCTGGTTTACTTTGATTGCCACATAGTGTCGGAGTTGATGATGGTCAGTCATTTTGTCAGTTCATTTGCGGGTTTATTGAACTCAACATGTTGTAGTAGACGAAAAAAAAAAAACAAAATTGCACAAAATAACAACAACAGCAACAACAATAGTGATGTAGTGAACTACAAACGATGTATAGCAGAATAAAATAGCACTGGTAATATTAACTATTCATTATTGATTATGGACAATAATTAAGGTTCCAAAAAAGCGCAGAATGGTTTAACACACATACACACACTTAGATGGCCAAACACACATACACACTGTGCATATTGAAATAAATAATTTCTAATTTACAATAGGGGAATTAATTTCCCATTTAGGTACATGGACATTACAACAAATGTAAATTTATAATAATTAACATTTTCATTTAGTAATAGGAAACAAGAGGCTATAGATCCATTCTTTGTGGGATAGTCAAATGGGTGGGTTGGCATGGAATTAATATTAAAATAATCCATTTTAAAAATAGACAAAAGAAATGAACAAAATAAAACAAGTATATTTCAATACGTTTTTATTTCACAAAATTCAAATCTTAAAAATTTTAATTCATTTTCCATATCAGCGAAATATCGAATATGAACCCTTGACAACGCTTAAAAATGAAATATTATTGATGCGAAATAAATATGCGGTAACATAAATTCGATGCGATGCCTGTTCCACGAAAATGCGTAGATTTTTCTTAAATCTGGCATCCTGATCGGGCCAATTACATTTAAATAGCGAATAGGCCAAATCCTGAAATTCATCCTCCAGAATGGTTCCAAAATAACAGCTTGGTAATACTTCAAATATCATTCCGACAAAATAGAAGCCATAATAGGTCATTGTAATGACATCCTTTACGAAGAGTAACATAAACACCAAGGTCACACACATATTTACACTTGCGAAAACCAATTGAAAGAGCATATAGAGCGAAATGATATCTTCTACCTTGCGTCGATATCTGTGAATAGAAATTGGGTTAATTTTTTTTTTCAAAATGCATAATGGATTTAAAATATTAGCAGGTTCTCCTTCTTTAAATGTTTTGTGCCCATACAATAAATCTCATGAAATCTTCTGTTTAAAAAATATCTTACAAAATATATTCTATAGATAGAAGATATTTTAAAAGTTCTTCCAGAGAAGATATATAGATATAAGGCATTTTAGGCGATCCACAATACCAATAGATATTCTACCGATAAACAAATATGCTTTCAAAATGTCTTCCACAGCTTAAGTACAGCTTAAAAGGGCCTTCTACAGAGCCTTCAAGAAGTGTTCTTATAGTGTAGGAACCACCGAGAGGTCTTTCATAGATAGATAAACATTCAAAATGTAAAAAAAAATATAAAAGGCTCTTTATGAGGGCATTTTAGTTGAATATTCTGAGACCTTCTATATATAAAAGACAGTTCAACGAGAGTGCTGCAGATATCTGATTTTGCATGAGGTCTTCTTTAGATACACACCACTACAATAGGATATTAAATACCCTTTCAATATATCTTCTACAACATATATATATATACATACTTCAAGAGGTCTTCTACAGAACGTGAAAGATTCTTCTATACAAAGAAGAATATTCAAGAAGTTTTCTGTTGATATAGGGTCGTTTTTTCAGATGATGAAAAACAGGTCTTAAATGGTACTTCAAAAGGTAAAAAAGACTCTTCAAGGGTTTTTTTAGGTGATTGTTCTGCAGATATCAGATTATAAATAAAAAACCTTTCTTGCTTGTAGAGCTTGTAGACTTCTGATAGATTTTCTACAAATATAACATTCTGCAAAAGCTTTCCTTTATCTAGAAAATATTTAAAGAAGTTTTCAGTACATAGCAAATCCTAGAATATATCTTCTATTGATATAATACCTATCATGGAGATTTCCTTAGATAGAAGAAGAGCATTCAGGAGACCATATATAGGCAGAAACCATCAAGAGAAATTCTATAGGTAGATTATATTATATAGAAAAAAACTTTCAAGATGACTTCTATAGGTTCAAAAGTGTTTTTATATTTTTTTAACAGCTCTTCCATTGATAGAAGATGCATCAAGACCCAACAATAGGCTGCCTATGGATAGAAGACAATTCAGGAGGTATATATAGGCAGAAGCCCTTCAGAGCAATTCTATAACCTTCAAGATGTCTTCTATAGAAGACACTTCAAAAGTGTTTTTAAGAGGTACTCTATAGGAACAGGAACCTTTTAAGAGCTCTTCCATTGATAGAAGATGCATCAAGACCCATCAATAGGCTGCCTATGGATAGAAGACAATTCAGAAGGTATATATATATAGGCAGAAGCCCTTCAGAGGAATTCTATAGTAACATGATATTTTAATATTTATTTTATTCAAGAATGACTTCAATAGAAAACAGTTCAAAAATGTATTTACTCTATAGGTAAAGGAACCATAATGAGGTCTTTCATAGATATAGGATATATCAAGACCCAGAAATTGGTTGTGTGTGGGTAGAAAACTATTCAAGAGGTTCTCTATAGATACAGTTTTCAAGAGGAATTCTATAGATAGAACATTTTTTCAAAGGATTTCTATAAATAGGAAACCTTTTCAGTAGGTCTTCTATAAAAAACAGATTTTTTTTTATAGCAGACTATAAAAAGGTTTTTTTTTCGATGCCTTTAGAGATAGGTCTAAAAAGTCCTCTATAGATGATGGAACTTTCAAGAGGACTTCCCATCACATAACCTTTAAAAGAATATAGTTCCCGTATTATATAATCAGAATACCCTTCAATAGTGTTTCAAAATAATAGAAAAACCTTCAAGAGTTCTGTTAGATGTAGATGAGTTCTTTTATACAGAGCCTTTTATATAAGAGCCTTCAAGAGGATTTTTATACGTATAAGACACTTCATGAGGTATTGTATACGTGGTCAAGAGGTATTTTATATGTAAAATATCCTTTAATAGGCCTTCAATACATAAAAGATCATCTAAGAGGTCTTCTATATTTATAAAACCAATCCAGAGGTCCTCTGAACGTAAAAGACCCTTCAAGAGGTTTTCTATATGTAAAATTCCCTTCAAGTGATTTTTTATTTGTAGAATAAACATAGAGGACCTTCAAGAGTTTTTAAAGGTCTTTTGATTTTTTTTAATTGGTGATATATATATATATAGACTTTCCGAATTGCCTTCAATATACTGAAACGCACCAAGAGGTCTTTTACATACAGAATATGCTTCAGCGAAGCTTCTATGGATAGAATAGGTGTTTTTAGTTCATCAATACATAGAAACATACACTTCGAGAGGGCAGATGGAAACTCATTTCTTACCTAGAATGTCCTAGCTGGAAGACCTGCCAAAAATGCTTCGAGAGGTCTTCCATAGTACAAAATACGTATCAGGAAGACCTTTCATAGGTAGAATATTTGGATAGATTAACTTTTAAAAGGGGTTCTATTTATTGAATACATCCTGAAATATTGGCCCTCAAAATTGTACCCTTCATCAAAAGGCGTTCAATACAAATAAAGCATTTCAAGAGTTCTGTTAAAGATAGAAATCTCTTCGATAGGGCTTCTACAGATAGAAGACCATTCACGATTATTATTTAAGAGATCTTCTATGGGCAGAAGAAGTCTGCGATATATAGAAAACCCTTTACAAGGTTTCATATAGCTAGAGGGCATACCGAAATGCTTTCCTACTTAAAAAAACGCCTTGTAATTTTATAGGTAGGACAATATTCAGGAAGTGTTTTATGGTTATATGATGGAAGACCCTTTAAAAGTTATTCTATAGATATAGGAGACTTCATAATTTGTTCTATAAATAAATAAATCCTTAATACACCTTTAAAAGATAGCAGAACCTGCAAGAGAACTTTTTTGGATGGATGATTCTTTATGAAGACGATACACTGCATCAGGTCGTCCTACCGGATGTCTCCTGTAGATAGTAGGGCCTTCAAAAGGTTCTCTACGTATAAAATATCATTCATACCTTCTGTTCATATACCTTATAAACATTATTTCTTCTAAAATAACTTCTTTAAAAATAAAGTCTTTTAGGAGATATTCTGTCGATAGAAAATTTTTCAAACTATTTTCTATAACATTTTATCCCATTTTCAACTTTCCAATTCTACTTACTCCAACAAATCCAAATGATCACGAATACAATCCAGCAATTCTTGATTATTTTCCGCTTGTGATTTCTGCGGATCATAACCAATATTCGATACACGCATTCCCAACAAATGGACCTGACCACTCAGCAGCATTAAATGGGTACCGGCAAATGTATCATTGACCAAATTTTGTGTGACCGTAAAAACAAGGCCGAAAAATTGATAGATATTAGCAATTGTATAGCTCATCGTCGAGGCGAACGTATCAAATGGGAAATAACCCAGATAGATGTGTAACCAAGTGCCACCTATACCACTTACGATAATTGCAATTTCCGCTGCCAGGGGTATTACACTGCATAGCACATAAAACAGATAGATGAGAGCTCGGATCGGAGGATATACTTTTCGTTTCATATATTCCGTCTGTTCGCCCGCACTGGTATGTTCATCTTGCCGTTTGATGATGTCGAACATTCTGTCGATATCATTGAATCTCCACCAAATTGCAAATGTTTTCATCGAGCATACCGTACAGGTTAAAGTGATGCCCACATTTTCGATAATCTGATATATTGAGGTGCTGGTGAATAGACCTAATATTAAATGCAGGGGATAGCCAATGGTTACCAGCAGATTGATGAGTAAAGAGTAGAGCCAATAGAGAGGTCTATACTTCTTCGGCGGCATCATTCCCAATACACGCCAACAAATGAAATGTGTCCTAAAGCGGTATCTGGTATTTAAACCGCTGTCCGTTTTCATGGAATGATGTCTTGAAATGGTAACACAACAAATCTGACTGCGTGGTTTAGGTTCTAAATCCTCATGTTTTGTAGTTCGAAATAAAAAACAACAACCATATAACACTAAAAATATTTTCAATTTTATTTCCATGTCATTTCCAATTTTACAATACAATTAAAGGTAATAAAATAATAATTCCTTATTAGAATAGCACTGAAAAACTTTCCACAATTGTTCAGTGCATTTTCATTATAAGTGAAAATATCGAATAGGCACCCTCAACAGCGATTAAAAACGAAATATTATTTATGTGAAATAGCCATGCGATCGCATAAATTCCATGCAGTGCCTGTTCCACGAAGATGCGTAGATTTTTCTTAAACGAAATATCCTGATCGGGTCATTTGCATTGGAATAGCGAATAAGCCAAATCTTGAAATTCATCCTAGTTAAAGTGATGCCCACATTGTGAACTACTTCATATAATGAGAGACTTGAAAGGAGAACCAACATTAAATGTATTGGATATCCAATGGTCACCATAAGATTAATGAAAAACGAATAGAGCCTATATTTTTCCGCAGGCTTCATGCCCAACACACACCAACAAATAAAATGTGCCCGAAAGAGAGAAATTTGGTATTTAATCCGTTGTCCATTGTCGCCATTTCACAGTTGTCCCAATTCAATTTTTTTTGGCCAAAATTATTTAATACAACATAATGTATACTTTTCGTTTATAAATAGATTAATATTTATTATAATAATATTAATATTTATTGCAAATCCGTTAAAACGCGTTTCTGCAATCATAAGGTACAATATAGTACTATTTATTAGGTTTTTAGATATGCAAAGGCATACAAATGATAGGGTACAAAATGTGATGTTTTAGTACAAACATGAGTTGTAAAACAAAATAAAATGCGGTAAACATAATTCAAAATTTACTCTTTTTATAAAAGTATGACTTAAAACAGGCTTAAGAAGGTTGTTTTATACTATTAAGTAAAGAAAATAAAGGAACTCTATTAAGTTTTAAATTAATTAATTATTGAATATATGTAGATATTTTGATTTCCAGAACTATATTTTCATCGCCATATTCTTTTTCGAATTCTTCATCTGTGGTTTCATCACAACCAGTATCATTCGCGGGCCGTAATTCACAGTTTAGTTCACAAACTAACAATTCGATTACTTCAGATGGCAGGTTTAACCGCTTTCTTTCTTGTAAGTGGGCGTTTAGGCGTATAGATGATATAAGTGGATCAGATGTATCCATTGCTCTATTAAATAGCGTGTAATAATCTGTCATTTTTATATATTTTGTTTCTGCATTCAGCAGCATCTTTAAAATATCTTAAATCGGACGGTACGGCTATGTCACAGTGTGGGCCAATTTTCAAAAAATGTTGCAGAAATGTTTTTTATACTATTAAAACCTTAAATATCAATTTTAAGAAAAATCGGATGAAACTTTTTCTTTATCCCACATTTTCAGTTCAATACTATATACAATAAAAACATCAATTTATAAAAAATTTCACTCAACTTAAAGTAGAAAAATACATTTTTTTCTAAAAAAGGCAAAATAAGGCAAAATATTTCATCTGAATATGATAGTACATACCCCTGCCAGCTTCCAAAAATTTTTTGGAGGAGACGATATTTTTACATTTTTTCTAAAGTTTAAGAAGATTTCAAAAATATTTTTAAAAAATAATTTTCAATATACACACAATCTTTTATCTCCCTACCCAGATATTACAACTTTCTTCGTTCTTTCTTTATATATTATGAAAGCACTTATTATCAGCTTCCAGATTCATAATAACTTTGGTCTGAATTTCGTATACCCATTCGACCACACAGCACACCAAAAAGTATATATTTTTCAGCACACAGGCTGTTCTATTTTTTATACAAAAAATTTTCAACTTCAGCATTACACCAACGAGCGGCTATTAATGGTATTTAGAAAAACCAATTATTTACGGATGGTTTGAAGTGTTTTTTATTATTCCGCGCAAAAAAATTATAAAAATATGAAACTTCAAAAAAATAATTTTGGCCAAAAATTTTGTGATTGCGACAACTGTGCATTGGCCAAAGAAACACATCATGTAACAGGTTTATGGAAATGTTTACAACTGATTAAGGTTTCCTGTTTGCAGGACACCTTTTATATGCAACATCCACCCACATCCACACACCGCACATAATTTTAATTATTATTTGTCATTTATTTAAAACATGACAATATCGTATTATTTAATAATCTCCCAGCAATTATAAACCTTTTGGAAATAATTAAAATTTAATTAAATTGAGGTTGTGAGCAGGTGAGGGTGGGTTGGCTAATGGTGATATAACACTTTAGTGTATCGCCTTCTTTTGAAATGAATATTTAAAATTTGAAAATTTGGTAATTCATTTCTTTTTTTTTGAAATTTGTACCTCCAAAATGTACATCCCAAAACCCATTAAAAATGTTAAAAATCAACTCTATTTCCACATAGGGTCTCATTAATATTTGGTTATAAAGACAATTGTATGCGTATCTTACATACAAAACATCTCTTGAAGAGTATTCTAAAAACAGGAGACCTATTAATATGTCTTCTATATAAAGAATACCTTTTGAAGAAGTCCAGAGATCTGTTATATTTATCTTAAAACAGGTCTACATTTTAAAATGTAGACCTGTTTTAAGATAGATCTTCTAAATATAGAAAATCCTGTAAAAGACCTTCTAAAGATAGAAGAACCTACAAAATATCTTCTATAGTTAAAAGACCATGTAAAAGACCTTCTAAATATATAAGATAATTTAAAATATATTCTATAAATAGATACCAGTATAGAGAAGACCTCTAAACCTCTAGAAGTGTCTTCTATATAGAGGAGAATATATAACATACAGAAGACCTTTTGAAGATGCCAAGGGGTATTCGATAGAATGGATAGGGGCCTTCATGAGATGAACAACATATATATGACACTTCAATAAGCCTTCTACAGATAGCTGACTTTTCAAGAAGTTTTCTATAGCTGGTAAATCCCTCAAAATTTTTTATTTATATAGAAAAAAAAATATCTTCTAAATATAGAGAATCCTGGAAAAGTCCTTCTAAAGATAGAAGAATCTGCAAAAGGTCTTCTAAAGTTAGAAGTCCCTGCAAGAGGCCTTCTAAATATATAAGACCCTTTAAAAGATATTCTATAAATAGGGAAGATCTCTGGAAGTATATTCAATATAGAGAAGAATCTATTACATACAGTAAGGCCTAGAGGTCTGATATATTTATTTTAAAAGAGGTCTACTTTAAATATGTAAAGCCCTCAAGGAAAACATATAGAAGACCATGGAAAAGGCCTTCTTAAGACAGATCACCCCGAAAAAGACATTCCAAAAGAAGAAGACCCTGCAGAAGACCTTCTAAAGATAGAAGATCCTGCAAATAGCCTTCTGAAGATAGAAGATCCTTCAAAAGTCTTCTATAAATGGTTTGCAAGAGATCTTTCTCCCAAGAGATATTATGTAGGCAGAACACCCTTTAAGAGGTCTTCTATAGATATCAGTGTCTTTAAGAGGTGTTCTAAAAACATGTAGAGCGGAGCTTTCAAGAGATCCTTTATAGATAGCAGATTTTTTTCAGATTTTTTTAGAGTTTTTTTCAATAGAATGCAGGGCGTTTTAAATCCGGAGGCCATATAGTCAGAAGACCTCTTAAAAATCCTTTTATATACAAAGGACCTCATGAAGGGCTTTATACTTACAGAATATCTTTTGAAAGGTATTCTGTTTACCTACAAAATACCTCTTGAGTTTTCCTACATTACTAACCCTCCATAATCCGGATTATAGGATGTACGCTCTCCTTACGTTATGGGGAGATGGCAACCTCGGTTAAAGAGCGTCTGCTACTTACAGGAGAACTCTTGACTGGTATTCTATCTATCTATCTGCTGAAGGTTATTTAATTCACAGAAGGCATGTTGAAGTATCTACTACAGACGACCTCTTGGAGGGATCTTCTACTTACCGAAGACCTTTGGAAGTCACCTTGACGGGTATTATATAAATATATAAAAATCTAGAAGACTTTTTGATGCAGTCTAAGGATCTTCTACAGATAGAATACCTCTAAGGGGTCTTCTTTCTATAATCCGAATAAATAATAAAGTGTTTTCTATATCAAAAAACCTCTCCATATTATTTTTCTATAGTAGAATTTATTATTTATAGACGATGGCATGTATGTTCGGTCTATAGAAGACCACTTGAAATGCCTTTCATCTATAGAATACCTCTTAAAAAGACTTTTTTCTATATGATAACCTCCTTGAAGCATAGTCTAGGCCTTCTATAAAGGTCTCTTGAATGACCATGACCATTTTTCTTTAAAGAATACCGTTTATAGGCCTTCTGCTTTTGTATAAAATATTTCTAGTAGAAGGCCTTGTCTTAATTTCTGTTTATAAAGGCCTCTTAATGCCTTCTTCTATAGAAGACAACTGGAAAGGACGATTTTGCTATAGAAGCCCTTCTGAATTTTTTTTTCAGTATACCTATTGTAGATTGTCCTATCTTAAACAAAACCTCTTTTTGAAGAGCTTTTTATATCTTAAACATCTCTTAGAGGGGGTTTTTATATAGAAGGCCTGCGACAAGCCTTCTATTATTATAAGCTTGAAAGGCCTTCAGTTTATAGAAGTCCTTTTGTTTATCTCAGTTTTATTTATCGATAGAAGGGACCTTTCAAAATATGTTATTGAGAAGAATACCTTCGAAGGGTCATCAGCACATGAAACACGTCCGGAAAAGCCTTTTACGTATAGAAACCCTCTTCCGCAAGGGATTTTATTCTACAGAATATTTAAAAACCATCTGGAGAATTTCCTTCGAAAATGTTACTATCTTATATTACCTTTATATTTTTAAAAACCATGCATCCTCAAAATTATAATTTTAATTTGCACAATTTTATTTCAAATTCATGATGAGTGCGAACAGGGTATACGTATTCTTACAAGCCACAATGAACGCATTATTGTTAATACGAAATAGCCAGGCGGTGACATAGATACGACGCGAGGAGTTTTCAATAAAAATTCGTAGATTTTTCTTAAATTCCAAATTTTGATCCATCCAATTGCAATAGAACAACGATTGGGCAATATCTTGAAAGGCATCCTCCAGCAGGGTACCATAATAACAGCTTGGTAATATCTCACACATGACACCAATCAGATGAGTGGAGTAATACGATAATGTGATAATGTCATTGCGAACAAATATAACCATATACACCAGGATGACACACATATTTAGGCCACACAAAAGTATTTGGAAAAACATATAAACCGATATGATTTGTTCGAGGATTTGGCGGTATCTAAATAGGAAAAGAGAAAAGGATTGTTTTATGCCTCTTTTTTTACTTTTTTCAAAAAACTTACTCCAATAGATCCTTATGGTCTCGAATACATTCCAATAGCTGTTGATTATTCTCCCTCTGACTCTTGCGCGGATCATGCCCTATTTTAGCCACACGTCGCGCCAACATTTTCACCTGCCCTCTCAACAAAGCCAAGTGCGATGAGGCAAAGGTATCATTGACAAGATTTTGTAGCAATGTATAATTTACTCCAATCAGCTGATACATATGGGCATACACATAATTCTTCGTATTGGCATTGGGATCGAAAGGAAAATAGGCCTTATATTGAATACGCCAATTACCCAATAGACCCGAAACAATCAATGATAATTCACCGAAAAGACTTAGGAACGCACATATCACATAGAATAGCCGAATGACAAATCTCACTTGAGGATATACAATCGTTTTCATGTACTCGACTTCTTCGGCGGAACGTAAACGTTCATCTTGTCGTCGTATTATGGTAAACATATCTGCAACTTTGTCGAGGCGCCACCAAATTGCTATTGTTTTTATCGAACACACTGTCGAGGTGAGGGTAATGCTAAGGCTTTGCATTAACTCCTTAAGGGATGAACTCGAAATGAGGCCCAATATTAGATGCAATGGATATCCAATCATAAGTGTGGTGACAACCACAAAGGAATACATCCAATAGAGAGTTTTATATTTGGTGTGCGGTGGTGCCATCATTCCAAGTATTGGCCAACAGGCGAAATGGGCCCAAAACAAAGATTTCGTATTTAATTTTGGCTTAGACGTCATGACGAATAATGAAACTAATCTCCCGACTGATAAATATCAAGTGATCCTAATTTTATGTAAGGACATCATTATATTTGATAAAGTTTCTCAGGAGAATTCTTGGTGTTGTGGGAATCATTTTTGTAGTACCGCCCCCAAGAAAACTACCTGGAAACTCCTCTTCGAAAAGTTTGAACATAATTTTCCATAATTTCAAGGTTGTTTCTGAAGTTTTTTTTTAGGTGAGAACAAGGAAACACCTTAAAAATGTTCAACATAAGTTTTAAAATTGTGGTATGAGTTGAAAGGAATTGCTAATGCCTTTGAAATAAAAGCCATGTAAAAACCAACAAAATTGAAATTTCCATAAAGGACTGTTTATATAAAAAAATAATATTTCAATCTGCAGAGTTTCGTTATAAGAAGCATACAAAAGGGTCTGATTTATATAGAAAAGCTGTAGAACAAGAAAAGGGGTTTACGTTTCTCGAGAAACCCTCTAACTATAGAAGACCTCTTAAGACTCTTATATCTATTCAAGACATCTAGTATATATTCTATCTACGGAATCCTTTTTTGGGATCATCTACAAATAAAGAAATCTTGAATAATATTCTGCATATAGAAATAATTATTAAGGGCCTTCTATATATACAATGGCTCCTGATAACTCCTGCAGCATTTTCTATTTGTGGATGAGCTGGGAAGACGTTTCTCAAGTGGAGAATATCATAGATGATGTTCTAACAAATAAGGGGTTAATAAGTGGCAACTCCTGTATCTTTCAGAACTTCTTGAAAGGTAATCTGTCCTTATAATACCTCTTAACAAGATTTTTTCTCTGAAAGACCTCTTGATGATACTTCAATAAAAATAATACCTCTTGAGAATATTTTTTGATAAAAAAAACTTATGTGTCTTTCATGAACAACAGACCTCTTGAAATCTATTCTATCAACCTTCTGTCATTTGAAAAGATCTGATGTCACTTGGAAAAACCTCTTGGATGATATTCTGCATATAGATGACGCCTTTAAGGGCTTTCTATCTACACAACCCCTCCCGCAGCAGGTATTATTTATAGAAGATCCCATCTGGAGAATACCATAGATGGTCATCTATAGATAATAGACCTTTTGAGGCTGCTCTTCTATTTTGTAGAACGTTTATCCACAGAAGACTTCTTGAAGATTCTTCCACCTTAAAACCCCTTCCTTCCTTTTATAGAAGACTTTTCGAAAGGAAGTCTTCTATAAAGGGATGGTCTTAGGGTCTTCTATAAATAATGATCTCTTAAACCAACAATCTATATAATATACCTACGAGATGTTAAAAGCGTTTTCCATCCGAAGAAGACCATTTCAAGGATCTTCTATCCTGATATAACTTCTTCATATTTTTTCTATGTTTAGAATACTTTTTGAAGGGTATATTAACTAGGGAAGACCTTTTAAGGGTACTTACCTTAAAGAAATACCTCTTAGATAGACGGTCTTCCAAAAATAGGAGATGTCTTAGGAGCCTTCTATAGATAACAGACCTCCTCAGGTCTACTCCTCTATTCTGACAGAACTTATTCAAAGTTATTCTATCTTCAATTAATAGAAGACACCTTAGAAGGCGATTTTTCCAATGAAGATTTTATAAGGGACTTCTATATATAAAATACCTTTTGAGGGAGCTACTCTTCTATCTAAGCAGGACTTCTTCATATGATGTCTTCTTTTGAATACCACTTGTGATAAATTTTATTTAGGAAAGTCCTCATGGACTTAATTGTCAAAAGACCTCGCAGACGATGATTTATCAATAGAATACCTCTTATGTGGTTTCTATAGATAATAGACCTCTTGAGGGTTCTTATTCTATCTTGACAGAACTTATTCAAAGGTATTCCATCATTACAATACCTCTTAAGGGGCATTTATCTAAAGAAAAACTCTTGAAGGTACTTCAATTGGCCTTATAGGCGGTCTTCTCTCAAGAAAAGAAATCTTTATGGGTTTCAATCGATAATTGACATATTGACGGCTACTTTTCTATCTTAACAAAACTTAGTTAAAATACCTCTTGATGGGAACTTTATCTAGGGAAGATCTCTTAAGAGTACCTTAATTATTGGGAGGTCTCGTTATGTCTTCTTCTATCGTCTGGTGGCTATTTCTATCTCTTTATGTATTTATCTGCAGGTAAACTACCTCTTAGCGGTTCTCTATAGATTAAATATCTCTTGAGGGCTTCTACAAATGGAATACCCTTTTGGGGGACTTCTATAAATAGAAGACCTCTCAGGGGGATCTTCTATCTATAGATAACTTTTTTGGTGTTTTCCATCTATATGTGACATCTTGTAGGGTCTCCTAAGGGGATATTTTAACCAGAGAAGGCTTCTTGAACCTTATTCTATCTTGGAAAGGCATCATAAAGCGTCTTCCTTTTATAAAAGACTTCTGAAATGGAGAGGTCAGCAATCAGTAGATACCTCAAATTGGCAGTGTTTTTATAGAAGTTCTATGTGGGTACTTCAAGTAATTGAATATCTCTTAAGGAGCCTGCAAAGCTCAACGAAGGCGTGATTTTATTTAAAGATTTTTTTTAAAAATTTTTTTTTAAATATTTTTTAAAGTTCCATTAAGACGTAAATTTTATAAAAAAAAGTTTTTCAAACTTTAGTGAAGGCGTGGATTTAAAAAAAATATTTTTTTTTTAATGTTAATGAAGGTGTGGACTATTTATATAATTGGTTTTGTAGTACTTGAAGGCATGAATTTATAAAAAAAATATTTTTTAAAGTCCCATAAAGAAGTGGACTTTTTTTAAATATTTTTTTAAGTCCCATAAAAAGAGCATTTTCAAAAAAATAAATAAATAAACGTTAAATGAAGGTGTGGATTAAACCACCTTCTCATATATATATATATATATATATATTAAATTGCAGTGCCTTTATTTTCTAATTAATATTTTCCTGATGATACTGTGCAGAACATTTATGAATTTCAAACAAATCGCCAATTATATCCTTCCCTCCACTCAGATTACTTCATGTTCATGACCAATGCGAATAGAGTGTAGGCATTTTTACAAGCAATAATAAATGCATTATTATTGATGCGAAATAACCAGGCTGTAACATAAATCCGACGCTTAGCTTGCTCCGCAACAATACGAAGATTCTTCTTAAATTCCTTATTTTGATCTGACCAATTACACGAGAACAAAGCATAGGCTAAATCTTCAAATTCATCTTCCAACAACGTGCCATAATAACAACTGGGCAAAATTTCGAAAATCATCGATGTCAAATAGGAGACATAATAGGCCAATGTGAAGATGTCCCTCACAAAGAGAATAATAAAAACCAACACGACACACATATTCAGAGCGGCAATTAATATTTGAAAGAACATATATACCGAAATGATTTCTTCCAATTGGCGGCGATATCTAGAAGAGAAATTTGGAAAGGTTATATTAGAAACCAAAAGGGCGGTCTAACTTACTCCAATAGGTCTTTATGCACCTTTATACACTCCACAAGCTCTAAATTATTTTCGGCCAAACTCTTCTCGGAATCGTGGCCAATTTTCGTGACACGAATATTTAACATACGCACTAGACTTCGTAGCAGACAGAGATGGGAGGCCCCAAAAGTGTCATTGACCACATTTTGTAATATCAAATAGGAAATGCCAATGAATTGATACAAATGGGCGATGATGTAATTTTTCGTACTGGCAAACACATCGAACGGGAAATAGGCCTTGTACATTAAATTCCAATTACCCAATAGGCCAGTTACCACCACTGCTGATTCTCCCGAAATTCCAATAAATGTACACAATATGGTAAATAGTAAAATTATACGCCTAACCGGAGGATATACTTCTTTTCGAAGATATGCAATCTCTTCGTGGCTGGTAAAACGTTGATCCTGTCTCTGAATTATTTCAAACATAACATCGACCTGTTTGAAACGCCACCAAATGGCAATCGTTTTCATGGCACAAACACCGGCTGTGAAGTTTATAGCAACATTTTGTATAATCTCGTATAAGGTGGAACTAGTTAATAGGCCAATCATCAAGTGCAAGGGATAAGCAACGGTAACGAGGGTGTTCAACACCAACGAATATAGCCAATATAGTTGGCGATATTTTTCCGGAGGTGACATACCCAAAATACGCCAGGCAATAAAATGTAGTCGAAATAAGGCTTTGGTATCCGCTTTATCGATCATAATACGTCTACGGTATGGGTGTACGAAATGATGGCCTCACTGCAACTGCAACTCAGTTACAATCCGCCTTTTATATAAGGATATGGGTAGGAAACCAAGGTGAAATGACAAAATAGCTTATGTGTATGAATTAAAAGAATTGCAAGATATAGGTTTCGGGTGCTCTGAGGATACAACGATTACGTAGAGGTAGTGGAAAGGTGGATTATTTGAAAGAGATTTTCTTAATAAAGAGTCCATTAATGTATAATAGTATTTATATTGGTTAATGAAAGATATATTCTCGATATAGAAAATTGAATGATTTATACATTTGTTCATTCCCTGAAATCCATTGACGAAAAACCTTTTGCACTTCGATCGGGGCAGCACAAAAAAAACAATCGTTTTGAATATCTTGGTTTGTGTCGGATTTTCAATTTTTTAGAAGACTTCTTCTATACATAGAGAAGCTGCAGAGGTCTTCCATATATAGAAGAAACCTTTTCTCTGTGTATTAAATAAATACATAGAGAAATTCAATTAATAAGTAGAATAACTTCGAGGGGTCTCTGCTATATTTATACCCTACACAACTATGTTGTCAGGGTATTATAGCTTTGTGCAGCCCCAAAAGTTAGTCCTAGACCCACCATTAAGTATACCGATCGTCATATCTCGACTAGCTGAGTCGATCTAGACAGTTGTGTCCGTCCGTCTGTCCATTATAATTTGTAAACACGATACAGGCCACAGTTATGGACCAATCTTCACGAAATTTTGCTTGTAGGATGGGTTCTGCCAAATGAAGGCCCCTATTGATGAAATGGACCAAATACTAAATTTTTGTCGCTTTTTCTGGTCGCTCCAGAGGCCACAATTATGGTCCGAACATCGCGAAATTTTACATTGAGAAGGATATCGGGCCAAAGAATGAGAATGTCTGATTTCATAAAGATCGGTCAATATATAGAGGGTTAAATGGGCCCCGTCTTTTGTGTGAAAAATGACAAAATTTGTATTCTATACAGTATATGTTTACTTCTGAAGGACATAGACCCCAGAAGTTGATAGTATATCCAAGAGGAGTGGTTGACTATTAAATTGATACCAATTATATTGTCGTATGCACTCGGATGTGGGAGATACCCTTAAATATTTACAGGTGTCTACGTATTGAAATATTATTTAGTAACCCATTACCACACTAGAGGGCGGAAATATAGCGCTGATCGCTCTCAAATTTTTTATGAAGTTCCAGTTATGGTCAAGGATAACGCCTATAATTTTTGGTGATGATCAGCTAATAATTTTGGGATGAAGTGGACCGAAATAAGCCACAATTAAAAGCCTAAGATGATCGCAACACAAACCACTGTGAAAGGAATCTGGGCAAGTAATTAGAAGGACTGTACTGAATATTAGTATTCGGAGAATTTGTCAGTGTAAGGAAGAGGTTCTCTTGACCTCTAATCGGGAAAGGGGTGCAAATATCACGAAATATTGCCCAGGCTCGGAATAAACATCCACAGAAGGTTACAGTTCCGTGGTAGTTGTGTAGGGTATCCTATGGTCGGCCCCGTTCGACTATACTGCTCCGCTCACTGGTTTTCAATATATAGAAGTTTCCTATGTATATACAAAAGAGCCAGGAGAGGTATGTAGGGTTTGTTATAATTTCTGAATTCATGAAATTTTTTAAAAATAAGAGAAATAGATTTTTATACCACGATATAGAATAGAAGACCTAAAATTTTCGGATGCATTGAAGAGCTTCGGTATAGAAGATATACAATTTTATGGAGATTTTTATATAAAAAATCTAATTAAATACTATTGTAATAGTAGTTGGGATCAGTTAAAGGGCTCTTGGATGTCCTATAGCAAGTTAACTTTATTTTATAATTTAATTGTTAGTCTATTTTGAATTGCAACCATTCAAGGAGTAATTTATATTTAAACAGTATTTCGAAACTCAAAATTGAATGTCAAACGGTTTTATAATTAAAAGAGATTAAAAGGTGAAGTTTGCTATTAAGTACTCTAAAAATCATACGAACCCTAATGTGGACATCCAGGATACCTTAAATTTTCTCCAATACTTTTACGGTGACTATCTCATGAAAGAGATCAAAATGTTGAAAATAAATCTTAAAAATGTTGTTCATATATCGCTACTACTACTTCTACGATGTTCGCTAATGGGGTTTATCGGTCCAGGCCCAATTTCGATATTTTGATAGGCCCAATGACGATATTTTGAATATTTGAGGAGCAGTAATTTGATATCCCGGAAATAGGAATTTTCCAAAAAAAAAAATCCGATGATTCCATGTTTGGACATATATTCCATATAAATGTCGTCGGTAATGGGATTTACAGGTCCAGATTTTGGTATAGTCCCAATTTCGAAATTTTCAATATCTGAGGTGCAGTGAGTTGGTATTTCGGCTTCATAGAAATCGGAAAACATGTTTTCAAAAAATGCCGATGATTCCATGTTTGGAAATAGCTTCCATGTATAAGTTCTACCCATTTCTAGTATCATCAAAATGCCTAAAGTACAGGTATTTTGATAATACTAGCCTAATTTTCCAAGCAATATGGATACATGTTCGCATTTCGGGATTTCAGAGGCTAAAAGTTCTCCCGACAAAATACTTGCAATGGAGGCTAACTTTTTGACATTGACATTCTTATAAATCTCTTACACCATACTGGGTATTTTCACGGTCCCAGGTGTATTTTTCTATCGACGTTTCCAGTGTCATTTTTGACTCATTTTGAATAAAAAAGTTATTGATGACATAGCCTACACATAAAACTTTCGCCCATTTTCATTATCTTAAAGATAATAGTCCAATGTTCAAGCTAACTCGAGATCAATATAGATCCCGGCTAGTAAAGGTATTTTGAAATATCACATATTTAGGTTTCCGTTCCGTTTTAGGTAGTTTGCTAATTGTAAACCCTTTTTCAAATGATATTCAAAACATTTCAATTGCAATCCGAGAATTTCATTTGTAATTCGAAAACTAAATTCATAACATTAATTTTCAACAATTCTTTTGTAATTTTAAACTAATTGGTATATTTCCATTTCAAATTCGTAGAGTTTCATTTGAACATTAAATAAATTTATTTACAATTAGTCCAATTTGAATTTCACAACATTTCACTTGTAATTCAAAATATTTCCCTTATAATTCGTAACAATCCATTTCAAATTCATACATATTTTTTGTGTGTTACCAATAATATTTTTCGAATTTAATATTAAAATGAATAAACAAATCCCAAAATTTTTATCTGATCATCAACGAAAATTATAGGCGTTGTCCTTGGCCATAACTTGAATCTCATAGAAAATTTTAAAGCGATCAGCGCTATATTTCTAGTGTGGGAATGGGTTCCTAAATAATATATGAATACGTAAGCACCTTTAAATATTTACGTGTTACTCTCACATCCGAGTACATACGACAATATATGTCATTCAGGGATAAATATATACGCTATAAAATACAAATTTTGTAATTTTTCACACAAAAGTCAGGGCCTATTTGACCCACTAAATATTGACCGATCTTTATCAAAACAGGCATGCTTATTGTTTGGCCCGATCCCCCACGTGTCTAGATCGAGTCAGCTAGTCGAGATATGACGATCAGCATACTTAAAGGTGGGTCTAGGACCAATATTTCGCGGGGTTACAAACTCTTGGAGCCGCACAAAGCTATAATACCCTGACAACATAGTTGTGTAGGGTATAATTAGAAGGCGGAAATATAACGCTGATCCCTTTGAAATACTACATGAAGTTCCAATTATGGTCAAAGACAACGCCTATTATTTTCAGTGATGATCAGAATAAAATTTTGGGATGAAGTGGACGGAAAACTTAATTTCTTTGTGTGTGTTTTCTAGTCGAATATAAGCCGAACATCACAACTCAATCCACTGTGAAGGGAATCTGGAGAAGTAAGTAGAAAGGCTGTACTGAATATTTGTAATATTCGGAACATGTAAGGAAGATGTGCTGTTGACCTCTAATCGGGAAAATCGGGGCAAATATCACTAAATATTGCCCAGCTCGGAATGAACATCCACAGAAAGTTAGAGTTCCGTGGTAGTTGTGTAGGGTATCGTATGGTCGGTCCCGTCCGACTATATTGCTCCGCTCACAGTTTATACTTATTTTTCATTTTCTTAATACCACAAATTATATTTCACTCTTTGAACCTAAAATTAAAGTTCCAGCCCCATTTGAAACTATACTACAGCGATTGAGTTAGGGAAGTGTGGCAAAAAACTCCGATATAATATAACTTGCTTGATATCTTCAAAATGCCGACAAATTTGCGATCTACAGTTATAATACCTAATCGAATTGTCCAATTGTAGTACGTAACCTGCCTGCAGACAAAATTTGGCGATCTATTTCAATTTGCTTAGACGCTATAGTGATTACAACAGACAGACGAATATACTATGGTTCCATAGACGAACATACTATGGTACCATAGACGCCATAGGTCGGCTATGAGTTATGCATTTCAAATCAAATTTTATGAATTTCAAATGCAATCCTTTAAATGAAAGTATATGAATTTTAAATGCAATTCTATAAATTTCGAAAGCATACTCGAATTATGTTATGATTTGCAAATTTAGTTTTGGAATTAAAAATTAAATTCTCGAATTAAAACTGATATGTTATGAATTACAAATGGAATTATCGAATTACATTTCATATGTTTGGAATAACATGTGAAAAAAGGTGTATACCTTTTTTCATTTCAATGGCAATTCGAGAATTTCATTTGTAATTCCAAAACTAAATTTGCAAATCATAACATAATCAAAATCATAACGAGTATGTAATTGGTAATTCACAACTTTTCATTTGCAATTTTAAAGTTTTCATAGGAAATTCAAAAAATTCCATTTAAACTTTAAAAATTTTATTTGTAATTGGTTAATTTCCATTGGAAATTTATAGAGTTTCATTTGAAATTCAA